TATATATATATATGATTTTTAATAAAGCAGAAATCAACATACATTTGGGCTCAAGTAATCGAGACAAATGTATAATCTTGAGTTAGTGTTCTGCAATTCCTGTCGTGAAAAAATTTGTTTATTACTTTGATGATGCTGTAACTCACTGTCCTTGTTAGAATTAAAATGAGCATGAACCGTAGCTGAAATATGTGTATTTATTGCAGAATATTGTAAAAAGTCAAGAAATAATTGATGAAAGTTTTCCAAAAAATAATAATAACTCGCATTTCTCCTGACTATCAATGACTTGAAAAGTATCACTGATGGATTTGCGATGATCAAAAATTTTCCGTAATGCAGGAGCATTACTGAACCAATTTCTGGGAAAATGTTGGTGCCGCTGAAAATTCGGAAGAGTAACTTTCTTAAGCCGAATTGAAGGTGAGCACTGACTTTCTCCAACATTACTCTTATTAATCTGTAATGGTTTATTTAGTCAACAACCTCTAGATCATGTTTTGCGCATAAACAAATAAAAATATTATAATAATGATATTTACATATGCTCATCTATTTCCGACATCTTCATTAAATTAAAATTTTATTTAGAAGCAATATTTGCTTTTGATGGCCAAATAAGAATAAACCTCAGAAGAACAACTTTCTGCTAATGATAACTGATTCAATCGATCTCTAAAGTCCTTGGTTTTTAAATCTTGCTCCTAAAAACAAACTCCATCAAAGATAGGAAAGGTCAAAAATAAGCTAATCCAATAGTCTAATATTTCATTAAACAACAAACTGTACCTAAATCATACCTGATGGACAATTATGTTCCGCATACTTCTTTCAGCTTTTTCGAAATCACTTCTCTGTTCAAGGATCTTTTTTTCAAAAGTTTGATGTATCCGAATCAAGTTTTCCTGCAGTACTGCATTTTCTCTGAAGCCATCAGAAGCTTTATAAACATCTTCAAAATTTTGCACTGGAAAAATTAATAAGTATGCTTAGAAACAAAAAAAGAAAACCAACCGGCTTAAATTTCTAATTTTATATGTTAACATTTGATTTTCATCAAGTGAATCACCAAGCTGATTTCTCAACCTGTTAACCTTGAATACAAACAGGCATTATAAAAATGTAGCACATCAATATTACAAAAAATTCTCAAAAATATTAATAAGAGGTAAACAGAGAATACAAAAATTCTTCAACTCAATATAAGTTAACTCTCCATATATACCTAACTTTATTTTGAAAAGTTCAGACATTGAACACCTTCTGTGCTTGATGCTTGAACCAAAGCTCTAAAAAACTCATGTTTTGGTCAATAGCAATATATTTTTCTTAGCAAGATATGATTTGACTTAACAGAATACTATACCTCATCTGTAATTTCATATACATCGTCATGGAGGCTTAGTGTATTTACTGGTTCGCGTGATCTTTTGTTTTCTTTTAATAATGACACTGATGCTCTGTCGAGTTGAGTGGGGTATATCCAATCTGAATCTCATTATTTTATTTCAAGGGCGGGCACGCATTAGAATTAGTATTAATAAGTAGTGATTGTTAATTTGAAAATGTGATAAGTTAATAAATAGTACTGAAAATCAAAGGAATATGCTGATGTGACTATTTTGTTTAATATTACAAAGAGAAGTAGCAAACTATAACAAAAACTTGCCAACGTAAAAGTCGATTAAAATAATCTTCTGTACCTTCATTATCCATCACTTGCGACAGTAATAAAGCATCATCAGTATCATCTGTATTCTTCTTATGATTAAACACACATCGCCGCTTTTCAGGCGGACTGTAGGACATAACTTTTTAGCTATAAAATCATTAATAAATCGTCAGAATTGCTTTTTTCACGTACTTAAAATTAGCGCAATAAGAGAAACTGGAGATTAGGTATATTTCAATGTGTACGTAAAAGATAAACTACGTAAATAATAGTAATCAAATTAAATATCTTAATTCACTGACATAGACTTTTATTATGCACTGATTTCTAAACATTTAAAACTTAAGAACATCACACACTTTTTTGTTCAAAATTTCTAATTTTAAAACTCAATAAAAGTTTCAAATACTAATTTTATAATGCTACATCAGTTTGCAATCAATGAATGACAAATCTTTCTAGCACTACACCTTATTACTACTAGCAACATATGACACGTTCCAATAGTTCTTTTCATTGCACACTTGCTAGTTTGAAATTCCACCATATTTGTTTCTCCTAATTACTCATAGTTTGTTTTTATAACAAATAGTAGGGAATTATTCTGCAGAATTATATCCTTTTTCATTGTAGCAATGCATGTAGTATGACGCTATTATCAAATATCAGCTATTAATACTAAATTCACCATTAAATTCGACTAATCTAAGTTAAAATTCAAAAATACCATCGAAATTTGTCATGTTTGGTTCGGCCATCCACAGATGTAGGTAATAAATGTCTCGGTCTAAATTCTTGATATTGTGATAAACCATTAAGTAGTAGACTATTTTGATGCATGTCGAATTATTCAGTATATTAAGGGTAATTGAACACTGTACTCTCAGTACTTTTTTTAAAAATCGTGATTTGAATGTAGAGTTTTAACTCTTAAATTTATATAGTTAGCTTTGTAGCTTTTAATTTTGTTCTGTAATGTTTCTGACTTAAAGGAAATACATAAAGCAAGCAGTGATATGGCAAAGTGGAGAAATGCATCTCAGACAGCAACCTTAATTAGGAATGTTATTTACGATTTCCATAAATCTGACTTGGTATGTTTTTTTCCATATTACTTATTTTTACAGATTTTCAAATATTCAAGAGCATTCGCATCTGACATATATTTAACAGATATTATGCATGCGTATCTTTTGTCCGGAAGTATTGTTGAAATGTATATTCAGTATTTCAGAAATTTGTATGGAAGAAAAAACCTGAAAAGTTATCAGTTGAAAAACCAAAAGCAATTGACAAACAAAATAATAGTGATGTTTTGCCGTTAATACCAAAAGAGGATCATCTTTCTAATACATATCGTCACTACTTATATAGTACAATGCGTCTGAACGTCTTATACGAACAGTATAAAGTAACGTCTGAACGTCTTATACGAACAGTATATAGTACACTGATTAGTATTTGATTGTCTATATTGTCTAACTTGTACAATTCCCAAGTTCGATGTTCTCTAATTTGTTCAAAATTTTGGTTCAAATTTTTGACCAATTAATCGGAAATACATGTTTAAAAAGTAATAACCTATCTCGTTTTCCGTACAAGTTGCTGATTATCAATTCTCATTGATAATTTAAGGAAATTTAAATTAGTTTCAGGGTGGAGAACGTCCTTTAGAAGAATGTGCAAGAATTGTTGGACTGAAGTTACCTAATTCATCATCCTAACATCCAGACTTCTTCGTTTTTCATATTGATCCGGTCAATGACGTACGAATCCATCAAATGTCTCTCTCTGTGATAGATTATCTTATTTTAGGAAAAATGAAATACTAGGGATTAATTGTGTTCAATGTTTTTATTACTATATATTATTTTCCAGAGAATTTAAGATGATATCTAAATCATCTTCAATAATGTATTCATTAGAAATGAAGAATTTATAAGATAACTGGATTTTCCTTGCAAGCTTGGTAATACTTCTGGTTTCCTGATGCTTCATGATTAAGAAAATAATGTGTGATAGAACTTTGATTTATGCACAACTCCATTTGTGAACACTTAAAGAAAATAAATGAAAAAGAGTCTTTAAAAAAATCCTTCAACTTTGTTGACAGTAAGTAATTCTAGAAGAAATAAAAAACTAATTTAATTGCATCATTTTACAGATTAAACATAATTTCGTCAAAAAAACATTTTCTAAGTACATACCAGAAACTCATTTAAAGCCGTTAGATATCCCAAGCCTGAGGAAGGTACCACTACCAATTGGTCGGAAATACTGATATCCAAGTCAGTTGTTTTTGCTTTCAGAACAACTTCAACTTCAGAACATGAAATTACAATACAATCGCTGATACTAACTAGATTTGGAAATTTACACAGCATTACTGGAGCACCTGAAATTAAAAGGTAATTTATATTTCTATCAAAGTACGTAGTAGATATACAAAACATATCAATGTGGAAAATAAAACCTGGACGTAGAGACATTCTTGCCATGGTTTTATGAATATCTGATTTCTCATGGATGAGTACTAAAATCCGTCCATGTAAAGCATGCAAACAATTGGTTCGTAGTTTAAATGGACCCGAAATTTGGCTAAGTCTTTCCAAGTCGTCAGCAAGTGGATTTATTAGCAAATCTCTAAAAAAGTTGCTTACATAATGAATCATGAGTGTAAGAGGTATAACGTAACAACGAGCATTTATTATTCGAAAAATCTTTACACACCGAACTTCCTGAACATCAGCTGCAACTTCATTCTTTAATAATTCCTTCCATAAATTCACTTTATCATAGAAATCTGGATGCAACGCTGCATTTCTTGAGTGTTTCTTTCGAGGCACCTTTTTGGGTCTAGAATTGTTAAAAAATATCTCAAAATAATATGAGTTTCAAAAAATTCTCCAAAAAATCAAACACGCAAGCCAGAATTTAGTTGTTTTACGTCTGGTCAGAATTATAAGAATCTCATCATGGTAGTAAAAATCAATGCCTTATATGTGTCCTTCTGAGGGAATTGTGTAGCAAGAAGTAGTTTGACAATCCATTACTTGAAGTCATTTTAAGATAAGTCTTCGTACTTGTGGAGAACGGACTCATTCCCAAGAGTAAAGCAACATGACGTCGAATCATTCTTTCTTAACGAACTACAAAAACGAACCAGTACTGTATTCAAAAATTAGAATACATTATTCATCACACTTAGTAGATTTGTGATCTAATCCATCATCAATACCATACCTACTATCCTGAGTTCATCAAAAATCCATCCAGAATAGTAAGAATTCATGAGTTGCGAAAAATTAACAAATTATAAAAATTGCTTATGAGGCTCTTTTGCTTCACGATGAACAACAGTTGAGTTCAGCATCAGCAATTCAGAACTAGCGGAATACCAAAATGTTATCTAGATAATTTGCTTTTGGCGGGATGTGTACACTGTTCACTTGTTTCTATCTTCCTCTTTTACTTTTTTCTATTCAAGCAGCCAAAGTTAATCTTTGAAGTTTTAATAATTTGAAATATTTTTCCCCACAAAATTTTTAAACTTTCCGTTACTTCAAACTGATTCGGAATATTTATACAGCCTTTTTCGTATGCAATACTTGTGATGAGATGGCACTCACTGCCAACACCGTTTGATTTCTCCTTCAAAAAATCTTAGAACGTCACATGCTTCACTGTTGACTAGTAGTTGTTCATTAGTCATTTCGCTTGTTATCAATTTTTACGCAACTCTTTTACCGTAATGAAAATTAACTGCCTGCTGAGCTCAACAATGGAATCATAATAATTAAAAGTTGTAATGTGTGACGTTAGTCTTTCACTTTTGTCATTATTGTAAAAGCCATAGACATATTGTGCCAGTCAGACATCTGAACATTGTTGGATTCTAGAAGTACAATACTGATACAGACAGTAGGATATAGAATTGAACCTTTACGTGAATAAAAGTTAACCGACGTGTTATTATGACGTAATGGATTTTTTATAGTTCTGTGAATTTAAGAAAGAGTGCATCAGAGGGCGTGGAGACATTCAGAAGGGGTGGAAATATTTTGAAGGGGTGGAGACAAGACATCATCCCAGACAACTCAGTATTTCCATATCACTTTCTAGAACATAAAGTGCATGTCTGAGTTTATGCTTACGTGTCATTCATTGGTTGGTGAGGTCGGTCATCATATCGTGGAACATCACTTTTTGAGCATTGCCCTCATTTTTGTTAGACTTTCGCTCTCCGTTTAGACGTATAAGCTAGTCCATGCGCGTATATTAGATTAACCATATGCCATTGAAATGCGTTAATACCCGTAGGCATTTCTCACTTACTTTTGTGTAATTTCACGAACTTGCGATCAACAGAACAAATCCATCACTACATACGAATGTGACTCAGTCAGTCATTACTAATTAAACTAAAAAAGATTAAAATTTTTCCAATTTGTGCAGAAATTTCCGCAAGTATTCGAATCTCACTTTTTGTAAGACCCTCTTTTCTAAACGTTCTGTTGACATCGCTTTGATTTTGACAATAAATCAGGAGGCGGTACGCGTATAAATTGCTCAGTACGAAGTCATAAGTCTGTATTTTTTCAGGTAATCAATTTTTTTTTGGCTCTAAGCAGAATTCGTCTGCTAAGAGCATACTTTGGCGGCAAGCAATAATGGGAAGTTGCTTGCTGCAAAATTCAACTTTTTGGCTCTCCTCAGCAGAAACGAAACAGCTGGAGGAGAGAGAATATTTTCGGGACGCAATTTAACTGAGGAAGGACAGGTAATATCCGGAATTAATTTTAAAAAATGATCTGTAATCTTTATGAGACAAGATTTGAAAGCCAATATTCGTGTGGGAATTATTAAATTAGCCACTGATTACTAAAAAGCCTTTTTTTCTTTTTTCGGCTTACTTTTGTATCTCATATTAATAAATTTTACGATTAATAGTTCGCGGCAACAAAAAACCATTTACAGATACTAACTTTTAAAAGATGTGATGTAATTGCAATAATTTCAACTAATGTG